GGCCAAGGTTGCGCCGCAGGCTTTCATGAACACCTTTTGCGACAGGTGTCTGGAGCAGGACACGGCAAGCAGGCGCATTCAAAACATCCCTACCCCCCAAGATTTTCACAGGGAACTCAGAGGCACTAAGAATAGTGCTGGAGGTTCTGACGAGTTGCACGGTTTGTTTGTGCGTGCGTGTGCTAGTACATTGGCTAAGGCATACTATCCATTGGCCATCGAGGCTGGCCTTCCCAAATCAGAACCTCTACGCTGGAAAGGCGGCGATCTACCTGGAATACCAAAGGCAAAAGGCAATGTATATACTACGGCAGCATCAATATCAAATCTAGTTGCTTCGCGCACAGGCAAAAAATATCACGCAAGTCTACAACGCGAATTAACGCCGGCAATGCAACGGGCAATAAGTGATCATCAATATGCTGGCACACCCGGTAGAGGCACACAGCTGGCACTACTTGCGGCCAGAGTATGGCAAAAGTACTTGCAGAAGGCTGGACTGCGTCTGGCTGTGCTGTTTGTGGATGTCCTGAACGCTTTTTACTTTGCTATTCGGGAGCTTGTGCTCAAGACAGATCACGCGCCTGAGTCTTGAAAGGCGTTGCCGGCAGCGGCTGGGCTTCCAGTGGCGTACTTACCATTGCTCGCGCAACGGCTTCAAGAATTGCAGTGCTTGCATCGACATGACCTCAGCGATCACTTTAAGGCTATGGTCGAGGAGGCTTTCAGGTTGGGTTGGTTTTTATTCCCTGAGGCCACGCGCATTGTCGTGACTTTCCGAGGTACTCGTCCAGGGCGCCGTTCGGAGATGCATTGTTTCTTTTCAGCATTGCTGAGGTCATGAGTGGCGTGGCTAGGGAGCTCCAGGCGGTGGGCATCATGTTCACCCTGGACGCACCAGGAGCGAACATCTTTGAGGATGCTTCTGATGACTTGAAGGTTCCTTTTCCTGGTCAAGTTTACGCAGGCGATTCCACGTTTGCGTTCCTGGCTTCTTTGGAAGACTTTGAGCGGCACCTCCAAGATCTTTGCAGGATTGTATTGAACTCTTTTGCTGCTGCAGGTCTTGATCCCCGCCCGAAGGTGGGCATAACTGAGATTATGCTGCATCTGCATGGTCCTGGATCTGCTACGTTTCGGCGACATGTTTTTCATGCACTGGGTGCTCGCTTGCCTGCGCGCATGCTCATATGTGGTGGCACTCACATACACGTTGTGCGCAGGTCAGTATATATCGTTGCCGTGCTTGCGGACAGGGCAGCGCTTGACCCTGAGCTCGTGCATAGAGAGACAGAGGCACGTGTTCCGCTTACTCACTTGAGCAGGGCGTTTAGAAGAGCATCTAGTACTACATGTTTGCCCAAACTGGTCTTTACATATTCGCTAGAACTGAACTCAGCGCTGCATGGAGCAGGTACATGGTATGATCTATATGGAAATGACGTTGTTACTCTTAGAAACGCTTACGCTAAAATGAATAGAACGATTCTGCGTCTTCCCAGGTTTGAAGCGCACGGACCTACGGATGAAGAAGTCATGGCTATTGCTGCTCGCCCTTCTATAACACTAGTTATTCGAATAGTTCGTCTACGTTTGTTTGGTCAAGTTTTGATTTCGGCCCCTGGCCCGCCATTGGCGTTACTGCACTCAGAATACAAACAAGCACATGGCACTAAAAGAAAGTCTTGGCTACATCAGGTTCCGGATGATTTGCTGTGGTTGAGGGCTAGCCACCATTCCCTTGTTTCCTTTCCCACCCTAGTTGCGGACCCTCAGATGTGGGTGAACAAGGTCAAGTCATCACCGCAGGCATGGAAACGTACCCTGGCTGAGGCGCTCAAAACGTGTGTCGAAAAAGGCCAGAAGGGATGTGGATGGAGCTCGATGGCAAAAAAGGGTGTTGTCGAATTTGCAGAGAGCGGGCCTTCCACCGGCCCGAGATGTTCAGGACGACCCGCAAGTTCCAGAAATGAGGTGCCCAGATTGTGAGTCTAAAGCCCTATCCGTCCCGTCATTGGATGCACGCGTTCGTTCGTTACACGTTACGGTGACAGGGCTGGCGAGACGGCGCGTGTCTGGACCGACATGTGCCGCTTGCCGCCGCACCTTCTCCTCGAGGTCTCTTCTTCTCAGACAGATCACCTCGTGGAGACCTTCTTGTTCGGTTTTTACTTGATGCACGTGCCTGTTCTTTCAAGTGAAGAACAACAAAGGTTGGCTCTGGAGGAACATCAAGTCAACCAGCAGGCACGTAGGAGGGGTACTCCACCTCACATGCAGATGTGCCGACACGTGTGCTTCCAGGTCCCATCGATCCAGTCGCTCGGATGGTGCAGGACATGTACACACGTGAGCAGGCTCAGTTATATATGTATATATATACACAGAACAAATTCCAGCACGTCACAGGTTGGTCTAGGCAGTGGCTCCAGCAGTTTGAGGTAGGACAGCCAGCTCCTGGATCCGTCCGTGGTGTTTTCTTGGATTGGCCTTTCGAGCGTGAGGCCTACACTGGACCCCTTGCAGACCCCATTCCACGTAGGCTGAAGCGTAGGACGATGTTTATTGCTAATCTCTTTTGCGGACAGCGGCGCCAGGGTGACATCCAGGCTGCTGATGAGAAAAGCATAGAAACTATTCTTCCTAATGTAGAGTTCCGGGTTTTGTCTGTTGATCTCATCATAGGCAAAGAGGCAGGCGACCTTAGCAAGCCAGCCACAGTTAGTCTATGGAGTGAGCACATTGGGGCAGGTAGAATTGCTGTAGTAGGAAGGGGACCTCCGTGTGAAACTTTCTCGCCAGCACGTTGGAAGGACGGAGGTCCCCCTCCGCTGCGTTCCTGGGCTGCCGCATGGCGCATAGAAGCCATCACCCCTAGACAGCGGCTTCAGGTTCAGATTGCGAATGTTCTATTCATGTCACACATGGAGCTGCTCACAGTATGTGCTGAGGTGGGAAGATGTGGATAGGGAGAGCATCCTGCTTCCCCCACTTGGGAACCTAGGGCTGTTCCTTTGTGGATCTTTAGGCCTGTCAAAGCTCTCGCCTGTGCCCCGTGTGCCTCATATACCGAGTTTGGCCAGTGCGAATTCGGACAGTTAGCGGGCAGGGCACCCACAGGTATCCTTGCTATGCGTATAGGGTCATTGCATGACATGCTGCTAAACACTCCTGGAGGGGGCTAGTGTAGCCACGGACCCAGAGCTCACAAAGTTTTGCTCGGATGGGATCCTGGCAGGAAGATTTTCAGAACGGCTCCCAAGAAGGTCTATCCTGAGACTATGTGCAAAGTCTTAGGTCAGGCGCTGTTGGATGCAGGATGCAGTGTTACCTTCTGTAGAGAGCTGTGTTCATGATTCAGACCACTCAGAAATTCTGGCTTTTCGTCGGTTTTTCGTTGAATATGTTAGGGGTCCCTCGGAAGTTCCTGAGATGGGTCCTGATTTTGCCGTGGCAAGATCGACTAGAGGAGAGTCGACCATTGCACGCATTAGGAAGGCTCTCGACCTGAACACAGGTGACGAGCCGTCCAATGAGGATCAGGATTTGGACAATTCTCGTTCGATTGCCATCCTCTCTGCTGTTGAGGCTCGGCCGATTTTGCCACCCCAGGTCAGACGAGATGAGTCCACCTCGCCTGTTGTACCTCCCCCTAGACCTCCACCCTGTCTCTCGCAGTAGTGCTCGACAGAATAGCAGCTAATCGAGCAGAAGCTCTCAGACGAAGAAGAGCTCGAGAGTCTGATGCAGGACGGCTCCCTATTACTTCCATCAATATGTTCGGTGAGCGTCCTGGCGACACTAGTTCGACGAGCAGAGCGTTAGCCCAGGCAGATTTGCATCAATGGTTTCGGGCTGCTACACGCACTTGGCATGAGGAGGAGAGGGGGGTGGATTATGTATCGATGGGTGTTTTGGTTTATGTGTGGTGTTGTCTTGTTTCGGCACAAGCTTGCCTTGCTTGGCTTGTGCAGCACCGATCGCGTCTGTGCGCCGTCTTGCAGGCATTTCTTACACGTTTTTTCTTGCTACGTGAATGAGGGCAGGCAGTAGCAGCAGCAGCAACATGCTTGTGCTTCATGTCTTGCTCTCTCTCTTCCCGTGCCATCCGTCCCGATGGGCGGGTCGGGAACACCAACTTCGGCGAGGCGCGCCGCACCTGCCTGCCGCCGCCGCCTGCATAAGGAGGAAGGTTGAGGTTGGGTGGGGGTGTTGATTACATGATTGGGAGGTGGTGTTTTCTCTGGGCGTCCAGTGCCCTATGCAGTTGCGCCTCGGTCTTCAAAAGTCGAGTTTTTACCCTCCGAGGGCCCCTCGAGATGGGCTCGTCGATCTTTCGGCCTGCATCGGGCAGGCCTGTGGCCTGTTGAAGCGCATTTGGCTTCGACACGCCCCCGGCAGTAGCCGACTGCAGCTCTTTCGCGGCCATCCGATCCGATCCGATCCTCCTCCTCCTCCTCCTCCTCCTCCTCCTCCTCCCTTCTCCTCCTCCCTTCTCCTCCTCCCTTCTCCTCCTCCTCCTCCTCCTCCTCCTCTCTTCTCCTCCTCCTCCTCCTCCTCCTCCTCCTCCTCCTCTTCCTCCTCCTTCTCCTCCTTCTGCTCCTCCTCCTCCTCATCATCATCATCCTCCTCCTCCCTCCTCCCTCCTCCCTCCTCCCTCCTCCCTCCTCCCTCCTGCCTCCTCCCTCCTCCCTCCGCCCTCCTCCACTCCTCCCTCCTCCCTCCTGCTCCTCCCTGTCAAACAAATGTCCAGGACGAGAAACGAAAAATCAGTCCCTCGCAAGTGGTCCAAAACTCCAGGGAGCCCGCATCGAAAAGCGAAGACACCGGAGGCGTGGGAACGTCTGTGTCGATCTGGGTCATCGTTCATCTTGGTCAGCGTCACTTTGTAGGCCACCCTCGCAAACCAGCGACGGCGGGCATGAACTGTGACCAAACTCGGCGTCGACAAAATCCCGCAACATGTTGGTCATGATCATAATGTTTCTTCACTCGAGAACCTGTCGCGCCCCTCTTGGCCGTGCAGCGCGGTGTCGAACGCCATCCTCACGCGCCACGTGAATGGGTCCGGCTGGTCCACCGCGACCTTCAGTGCCGTGCAAGAAGCGGGCCCTGAGGGAAAAACGGGCCCTTGAGCCCAAGACCTACCCCCAGGACCAGATTCTCATCCCGGCTCGCCTCAAGGCATGCCGGGGCCAAGGAAGGGGGGGCGAGGACGGCGAAACCTTCAAGGACCCGCGCCTCGTCAGGACCCCTTTTGCTCTTCACCCCGAGGGCCGGCGTTGCGGAGCCATGGAAACACCGCGAAACATTACCCATCGGTCGGAAGAAGTAGGTAGAAGCATGAAGTAGGAAGGCGCTGAAAGCAGATTGGGTGTCCGCCCGCTCCCTAAGGAGGACGGAAAAGGTGTAGCCGCTCGATCGGGAAGGCGCTTTGAGTAGATTGGGATCTGGGAATCACAAACTACCTACTCTCCACGACCGATGGGTACGACCGGAGCCCACGCCCAGGGCTCCCTCTTTTCGGGCGTTGCCAAAACTGGGTTTCGTGGGACCTGGTTTAGTGATGTGTACTGGGGGACGCCCCCGCCGCCCCGTTCCACTAACCGGAACTGCCGTCACCCGAAAAAACACCAACTACGGCAGACCTGGTTTAGTGATTCTGGCCAATTTAGGGGCTCCGGGGCCCTACTACTAACCGGGTCCCCTTATCTAGGGTCCTGGCTATACCCGATCTTTTTCCGCCACGTGTCTCGAGCCGGATCGATCCGTGCCGGCCCCGGGGCCCGAAGCCGAGCGAGAGCGCGCGCCGTGAGCGGGTGGGCGGCGCCCGGAGCTCAAGCTCCGCACCCTGCACTGCGGGGCCTTCAGGGGGTTCTGCAGGTACTCGCCGGCCTCGCGGCACTGCACGAGCTGCGTGAAGCCGTGGCGGCTCTCGAAGTCGGTCCACTCGAAGTTCACGAGGGGCACCTCGGCTTGGGTCTCGGCGGGCGGCGGCTGCCACAGCCGCTCGCTCACGACGTGCTGCAGCCACGCCACCAGGCCCGCGAGGCTGAGGCCCTCCGTGCAGAGACCGGTTTTTGTTGTTGTTGTTGATGTTGTTGAATATTATTACTTCTAAAGAAATATTATTGTTGAGACCCCTGGTGCGCGACCCCCCTCCAAAACCTAGGCCGCAGCCTCATTTCCTTCATTTTCTAGCGAAAGCTTCAGAAAAGTGGATTGTCACCGGATCCGGTTGTTTTGTTGTAATCCGTTTTCCCTTGCAAAAAACACTATAAAATGAAAATTCTTGTTCTTACTTGATCAAATTGCAAGAATCCCTTGCAAAAAATAAGGTAAAGTGGACATTCGTGCGCGCAAGACGAAATCCTTCCAAAACCTTAGGTTTCGTAAGCGATTTTAACATAAAAACATCAAAAACCCAATGGTTTTTTAAGAAAAAATTGTCAAAATGTCCTTCCGCGCGCTCTTGCGGATTCGTAGGAAAACCAACACTTTTTAAACAATTCTGTCAAACGGGCTTTTGCGAGCAACTTTTTCGAACTTCTGCGACAACGGTTGCGCACCTGCCAGGGCCATCATCCCTGTCAAATAATACCATGCGGGACACATTCGTCTCTCTGTATTATGTATTGTATGGCACAATTGCACCATGCTGGGCACATGCGCGCCCCGAATAAGTGACCAAGTTCTGTGGGTGTGTACCCCACGCCAGTGTAGTAGCCACGGTCGTCCGCACGCCACGAAGTGAAGTGTCCCAACGTCATAGGGCGGGAAGCTGGGTTTGGGTGGTCGCGAAGAGTCGTTTGGATATTTGGTAGAGCTTGTAATGCCCCCCCACGAAGTGGGGGTATTGCCTGGTGTCGTATGAAAACCCTGGCACTGGGGAGAACACCACGCGTTCGGGTAAAATGATTGTTGTTGTTGTTGTTGTTGTTGTTGTTGTTGTTGTTGTTGTTGAACATTATTTATTCTAAAGAATAATTATTGTTGGGCCCCCTGGTGCGCGCCCCCCCTGCGCCGCCTAGGCCGCAGCTACATTTTCATCATTTTCGTGAGGAAGCCTCAGAAAAGAGGGTGTGTACAGGATCCGGTTGTTTTGTTGTAATCCGCTTTCCCTTGCAAAAAACACTATAAAATGACATTTCTTGTTCTAATATAATCAAATTTCAAGAATCCCTTGCAAAAAATAAGGTAAAGTGGACATTCGCGCGCGCAAGACGAAATCCTTCCAAAACCTTAGTGTTCGCAGCGATTTTAACATAAAAACATCAAAAAACCAATGGTTTTTCAACAAAAAACTGTCAAAATCTCATCCCGCGCGCTCTTGCGGATTCGTAGGAAACCCAACACTTTTTAAACATTTCTGTCAAACGGGCTTTTGCGAGCCACTTTTTCGAACTTCTGCAACAACGGTTGCGCACCTGCCAGGGCCATCATCCCTGTCAAATAATACCATGCGGGACACATTCGTTTTTTCTTCGCGCGCGCACGCCGTCGTCGTCGGCCGCGGGGCCCTGAATAGTAGCCACGGTCGTCCGCATGCCACGAAGTGAAGTGTCCGAACGTCATAGGGCGGGAAGCTGGGTGTGGGTGGTGGCGAAGAGTCGTTTGGAAACTTGGTAGAGCTTGAACCGGCCCCCCCACAAAGTGGGGGTATTGCCCGCCTCCTATGAAAACCCTGGCACTGGTGAGAACGGAGTGTCCCCAGTCTTAAATGATTGTTGTTGTTGTTGTTGTTGTTGTTGTTGTTGTTGTTGATCGGGCGGGTGGCAATGGGGGGTGACCCACATGGGGGGTGAACAAAAGGTCCCCGAAGGGGCCCTTCGGGGTCTTTTTGGAGCCAGTTGGTGCCCAAAAGAGGCCCCAAAGGGCCCCTTTAGGGCGCTCTTCTTCACCCCTCATGCAGGTCAACCCCCATTCACCCGCCCGAAATTTGAGCAGGGACCGCCGACCATCCAGGCATTCCTATAGGCCTACCACGACATGCTCTTAGAACAACAGAACGTTCTTATAGCAGACACCATGCTCTTAGAGCATAAGCCCGATGAGCGAAACCAGGACGGTCTCAGCCAGACATGTTCTAAGAACACTTCGTGCAAGCCACAACAAATTCTTAAACCATTCTTTGGTGGGCCTATATAACCAAGCCAGGCCACTTCGCCGCTGCTTGAGTAATGACGGGTCAGCAGTCGACGACAACGAGGAAATCGAGACAAGCCCAACGCCTTACAACGCACAGTGTTGCAATCGACCTCACTCGCGTCGGAGCCCCGTGACCACGTGAACTCATCCAGAAAGAACAAACAAGGAATGAGAGAGGGAAGCGTAGGGCGGAGGACGCAAGAGAGAGTCCTCCGTGCGGACGCTGATGAGGCGCATGTCGGCGAAGAGGCCCACCATGTCGCTCTCTCCGGGCCCATCTCTCTGCGGGACGACCATCGTGATGGTAGAGGAGCAAGAAGCTGCACAAACATGAACTTTCGAAGGTCCGCGCGAACTTGATGGATCGGCGCTGGACCCCCCTGCCCAGGCGCGCTGGAGGCGCCGCCAGGGGGGACTGGCGCAGACCCAAGAAATCCGCGCGGGCCTCAGAGGTTTGTGCTTCTGCTGCTCCTTCTTCCTCCGAGATGGGCGTCACCCGGGTCCCCTGGAAGCGCGCCAGCGTCGCGCCAACCGCCGCGAGCAT